TCTCTCTCTCTCTCTCTCTCTATATATATATATATATATAAAGTTCAGGTGGTGCCTAATACTTCTGATTCTATACATATAGATACACATATAAAGTCTGTTTTCATTGCAAAATGAATCTAATCACACAAGAGAATACCCTTTCCTTCAAACTCCCAATTTAACTCTGCTGAAGCCAGTTCAGAACAGCGCACTTACCCTTGAAGTGAAGGCTATCCTTTCGCAAAATAATCCTCCGATCCAAAAAGGCATTGCGATAAAGTTGGGCATATCTCGTTACCATCAACATGACACGAGGATTTCTTGAAGAAGGTTTTCAAACTTCCAGCCACCCCCTAGAAATCAACAGCTATTTTCCCGAAAAGAACGACCACAAATATTGGAATCACATGTCTGTCAACTCTCCCAGTGAACTCCAATGGAGTTCTTGTGCCTTTGGAAACTTGGAAAGTATGTGTGGTCTGTAATTGAAATACTTTGTCTTTGCAATAGCTTGTTAAAATAGGAATTGTTGCCTAGGGCAATAGTGCGTAATGATGGTTATCATAACGAGCACGATCGACGATAGAAGAAGTAGTTCCATGAGCATTACGGTCGGCAGTTTATTTGTAGTTAATTAAAAAGCTCTACTGGAAGGCTGGATGTGTTTTGTCGTTTGCGTAGCTGAAAACAACAACAGCGTACAGTCTGACATTAAGTTGTCACAAAATCTTTGTTTCTAGTCTGAACGAGGTTAATCGAGAAGTTCTATTGAGTTTGGATGGACATTTTTTGTTGTGTCTGATAGTGGTTTGCAAAAACGTATCACTCCGCCGATTTTGTTTATAATTAAAGACAAATTTATGTCGTTTGAATACCTATTAAAAATATAATTTTATATGTAGTCTATTTCTGTGAAACGCGAATTCGAATAAAACTTCAAGGAATTAAGCTCTTTTTATTGCAGAACAGGGTTACCTTTCAAAGTCATATATCTCTTATTAGATGAATTACTCTATATGTGTAATCAAAACATTTCATATATTTAGTAATTAATTAATTAATTATGCATTAAATGGACCCGTATATTGTCACCTTCATCACAACAGAGCGCAATAAAACCAGCAGCTGGCGCGTCGGTCGGAGCGGCGCCAAAGGTGCAATGTCATAATGTAGCAGACGACAGTTTATGAGGTGAGAGAACAGGTTACATTCCTCTCGTGACCAGTAGATCGGATATTTGTTTTATAGTTTGCAAGGAAGGTCACGCTTCCACTTCAGCATGAGTAGAAATATTTAATGATAGCATGTTACTTCTGTCCGTCATTTCTCTATGTTTAATAACACCTGGTGATAAGGCTTAAACGCTTTAGTTTGTGGAGTTACGAATAAAGAAGATTTCTTGCACTTGAAATTACACGTCAACAAAAGGCCACTAAAATACAACATTAATGTAGTTAAATTAATTCAGAAGTATTGTGAGAAAAATGACTTGCTGTAACAGGCCCACATGAACATACTTTTATATTATGTATAAAGCAATGGTTACAGATGTTTTCATTTGCCACATATTGTATGAAAACAATATCACCCTGTCAGATATCATACATAATGAATTAATTAATAAGCTTAGTGTAACTGTCATTAAGTTAGTTTGTTTGTTTATAATTAAGCACAAAGCTACACAATGGGCTATCCGTGCTCTGCCCACCACGGGTATCGAAACTCGAATTCTAGCGTTGTAAGTCCGCAGACATACCGCTGTGCCACTGGGGGGCAATTGTCATTAAGCGTATATTAAGTGGGTTTTATAAACTCATTATGTCTAATATTGTAATATTTATTAAGTAAAACAGGAAAGTATTGGATAAGCAGAACATGCCATTTGACTTTCATAACAACAGGGATGTATAGAACGTTATTTGGTTATACTGGCCGAAAGAATCACGAAATCATACCAAATAAATAAACTACACGATCTTCTTTGCTTCCCGTTTACTATGAAAGTGTGTAGACACAGGGTTGTCGTTTCCACTTGCCATTTTTATTAAAGAATAAGCATCATCTTTATCTGCAATAAAAACCTTCTTCCTTCCAGCTCACACTTTCTATGGAAACGATTAGTTTATTTGGAATGGAACTCAATAAATAACAAAACTAGGCGGTGGAAAGGAAGGACACTGGGGGTACTTGTACCCAGTTTTGACCTGATAGTGAAGTTCCCCTTTGAATGGGGAATAGAGATTTGTGTATAACTAACATGTTTCAGTTTCGAATTCATTGGTCACCGTTAACATAACATATAAGACACCTTCAATCGCCGGTACCTGGCCTGACCTGGATGTTCAGGTGCTCAACTCACGATCTGCGGGTTCGAGTTCCATCATCGAACATGCTCGCCTTTTTCGCCGTGGGGGCATTTTATTAGACGGCTAACCCCCACTGTTCATTGGTAAAAGAATAGCCCAAGAATTGGCAGTGAGTGGTGTTAACTAACTGCCTTGTCTATAGTCTATCACTTCAAAATTAGGAACGGCTAGAGGAGATAGCCTTCGAGTAACTTTGCGAGAAAATTAACAAACAAACTAACTAATGATCGGTACTCCCCCATTCAAATACGTTCTTCCGCTCATGAACAAAAGCCAACTAGTTGTTTAATTCAGTTAGATTACTTTCAGTGCATGCCTTTTTAAAATATTTACTGACCAGTTGTCAAGCTTCAAATGATGTTTTCTTAATATTTTAATCAAGTAACTTTGTCATATTGCATATTTATACATTTTTTGTCCCTGCACAATGGCTTTATTAATGGTTTAATAACAAACTTGTTGCTAAGACATGTTCCAACTGATGTATGTATATAACAATGTTGTATTGTCCCCTTCAGATCAAGAGGTAAGTCTATCTGCATAATTTCATTTATACTAATATATTTTATAAATTAAGATTCCCACGCCGGCAAAGTAGACGTAGTAAACCCTGTAATACTTTATAATAATACTAGTACAAAAGCCCGTCGTGTGCACTTTGAAAGAGGGCTTAAATAGCAGTCTTGAACTTTTTCAATGTATTCTAGCTCAGGAAGTAGAAAACATAGTGCAGACATCCGACACAAATGTTCAACCCTTTCGACTGTACAAAGGATAAAAGATATTTGGTAGTAATATACTTTAAGGCCAAGTAGACAATATATATGTAGATAATAATATAATATATATATACCCAAATAATATTTATTCATTAACATTCATTCACCACTTATAACTTTTTAAACACTGACTCTATAATGTTAGTAATAGTAGGCCTGTTTGTAGTCTAATTTAAACATTAGGCCTAATACGTAAACGTAACGTAAGGCTTACCTGAAACATTACTTGTTAAATTTTTCTTTGCTTTTCAATTATTAACAACAATGGTTTCACCAGTAAAGGCATCATCAGGTACCATGAAATATTTGTGAAACGTACAATTGTCTTTGTTTTGTTTTTTCCTCAATTATGTAATTATGGAGTTTCACCAGGTACCGACGGTTTCAAGTATCAATTATATTACCTCTTGATCTGAAGGTGGCAATACGACATTCTTATATACACATATCAGCTGAAAATCACTAACTATAAAACGCTTATTCCCTTTGTCACTCTGTCGAGAACGCTTTCACGCTCCTTTTTTGGTAATGCTCAACAATATACATCGTCGCTCAGCAACGAAACTATCACATGATTGTTCTTATACCAACTTTGGTGTTTATGTTGAATGCTCAATATTCATGTTGATTTGTTAGAAAGGTATGTTTTATATTTTTTGATAACTTCGCTTATATAACAGCAAAATAGTTTAATTCGGAAGTTTTATGACATTGTAGCCAACTTTGCAATACACTTAATTTCCACAGTCACGCTGTAACAAACGCTATAATTCACAACGAACGTCTCACGTGCTCGACTCAACTGTCAATTACACATTGTTGCCGTCAGTTCTTGGCGGCTTATGTATACAAGACTACCGCATATCTAGTAAAAGCTCGAGACTTCACGAACCTTCGAGAATATGACGTGTTACTAGCGTCACGTGACCCCACTGTCGTAACAATATAGTTAAACGCTGATGATATTGTGTTAATGCAATTTTCTGACCAATCTACCATAATTTTACTTTATTTTAGATATATTAAGGAGTATTGTAAGGCTCCGGATCACATTATTCATAATTCCATTAACTTTTTGTTATACATATTTTGACTAATATTTTACTTAATACCGTATTTTTTGTTGTTGCTAAGCGCAATGCACAATGGGCTATCTGTGGCTATCGAACTTCAATTCTTAGCAGCGTTGTAAGCCCTAAGATTTACCGCTAGGCCACCGGGAACTGCTTGAATAATGAACTGAATAATGTACGTGTTGCATGTATGGATTTGTCTCGTGAGAGCACTCTTTCTGAGAAACCTTGATAGTTTTCTATGATTACACAATATAATAAATAATAATCCTCATGCTAGACATAATAATATCAATACTTCTAACTTAATGAAAATTTAGAGGTAAAAGTAATGGTGAAGCGTATTTTCGGTTTTCGCTAACGTGTGAATTCTCCACTAAATATTTTAAAACCTATGAATGTTTCTCTAAACATCTGAATTGTTTAACTGTCAAATAAAGCCGCTTTGAAAAATAACCGTCATTTTTATATGGCGTCTAATCTTGATAATAATCCAATATGATATTTTGACTGTAAAAGCTGTGATAATCACAAGGTAATGAATCCGGTTACAAAACATCAAGTCTAGAATTATCCACAATGATCTTCAGTTAAGTTCATAAGTTTCAATATTACAAGTAAGCGAAAAATTGTTCTCTTTACCATATTATGAGATTTATCAGTAATCTGCAATTTTCTAATATCTTCTACTTGTGATCATTACCAAATACATTGTTGTTGTTCTAATATCTTCTTCTTGTGATCATTACCAAATACATTATTGTTGTTCTAATATCTTCTTCTTGTGATCATTACCAAATACATTATTGTTGTTCTAATATCTTCTTCTTGTGATCATTACCAAATACATTGTTGTTGTTCTAATATCTTCTTCTTGTGATCATTACCAAATACATTGTTGTTGTTCTAATATCTTCTACTTGTGATCATTACCAAATACATTGTTGTTGTTCTAATATCTTCTTCTTGTGATCATTACCAAATACATTGTTGTTGCTCTAATATTTTCTTCTTGTGATCGTTACCAAATACATTGTTGTTGTTCTAATAACTTCTTCTTGTGATCATTACCAAATACATTGTTGTTGTTCTAATATCTTCTTCTTGTGATCATTATCAAATACATAATCTAGCAATTCCGATAAAACATTTCTTATAGTTGAAAGGTGAGAAACACGTCTCATTCTGGTTTTTTTTCGACAAGTGGAAACCCAGATGTCATAAACTAAGCACCCCCCCCCCAGTGGCACAGTCTGCGGACTTACAACGTTAGAAACCGGGCTTCGATACCCGTGGTG